CCCCCGGTAGTTTGCTAAAAAGACGTCATGTCGCATCTGAACTACACTATTCACCGACATTTGTATTTGCATATCCGGCATTATTACCGATCGACGCATGTAGGTATCAGAAATTAACAATTGAAGACAAAACTCTTGTTTAATTAGACTGGCACATTTATTGTTTTTATTTGTTCTTGTTTTGTAAACTCTTACAATTAGATGGACTTAAACATCATCTAGACAACACAACGATTCTTTAAAAAAAAACAGTTGTGATGGTACGAATTATAAAAGTTGTTCACCTAACAAACAAGCGGTTGTTATCTCTTTTTTTTAAATATAATTATATATGTCTTTATTGTAAACAGATAGATAATATCCGCAATGAGACAATAATAGAAATACCATACCATACCATACCATACCAGTATTTTATTCATCACAAACAAGTCTCATTGATGTTCACCCACCTGTTTTAAAAATAAACATATTACCAGGATATTGTAGTTTTCTCTCAAACACGACAAATGCATGATTTATGACATCAATTTAAAAGAGATAATAAATGCACATAGACTTAACTGGATTTGGATGATAAAGATTACAACTGTAGTCGATTTCATGTAGACTGTCATATAATAAATCCATGGCCGCGCACGGACTGTGAATAATTACGAACGGACGTCACATAATACACATAATCACCTTCAATTATCTAATATACATATCAATACGCGCTCGTAATTTTCGCCGAATACGACAACCAGCCTGAGTATAGAGCAAGTAACGTGAAAATCAATAATATCACTACTTAACAATGACATTTTCTTTCACTATGCCTACAACCTAAATTAGAAACAGCATACTGAGAGACAGAATTTACCTAGTAATAATTATTATTATACATCTGTCAACGTAACGCCATAAGTTACAGCATGCCGTAATTTTGTGGTATTTTACGGGGTATTTTCATCCTACCATATAAGGAAATGCGAATTCCGAATATGGTATGATTACTCGCGTAAGAGTCCTCTAATAATACAAACAAACATGGCTGCCATCGGGTTTAACTGTACTCCACACAAAGAAGTTCGCCAATTCTGTTCTAAACTTTTTACTTCGGCATTTCTATGATTCTTTGGAAGGAAAAGCTGTATAATAATAAGGTTATTACGAGAATACCTCAAAGTATGCACTCAGACAGAACGCTGCTGCGCGTCGGTCGATACTCCAGCTGGTACACAGTACTATCTTCGTGCATACTTTGAGGTATACTCGTAATAACCTCATATTCAATCGAATATTATTTGATAGCCAAAACAAATGGTTCATATGGCAATGTTGAAAGACGATTGTAATAATAGTTTTTAATTAACAAAGTAAATACTAAAAGAAATTGTCGAACAATTTAATAAATATTTCTTTTTTATAATATTTCAGTTTTACTAGAAGAAACGTGGCTCGAATAAAGATGTTGCTGCTTTCATTGATTCTTAAATCACCATTAGTGGGTAGAGTAATAAAGATAGTAGTAGCAATTAAACAAAGTTAAGTAATTATGATTATTTTTCTGTTTATAGGTGTTACCCATTATGAAATATTTTTTGGAGAATCACTGTCAGAGAACAGGTAACAATTTAATTCCTTTAGGAACGCTTTTATCATAATTCACTTTGAAGCATTAATTGATCACAAAATGTAATTGTTACAGAATTTAGAACAACTATAAGCACCCATTCTGTAACAACATATAATTTGTTGACCATACGTAACATTCTGGGATACAACGAAACCAATTTACCATAGGAACAAATGAAAAAAGGTTTCAAAAATCGCAATTTTGTCAAGGTTTGGTCATTTCCGGCAACTTAAAAAAATATTTATTATTATTATTAATAATTTTTATTATTTATTTATTTATTTATTTATTTATTTATTTATTTATTTATTTATTTATTTATTTATTTATTTATTAATATTTATGTTAATACTTTCTTAACGTCAAAAATAACTATAATTATATAAAAATAACAGGAACTTATTTTAATCAGATTGGGTATAGAAAATTGTCAAGGTCGCCGTGGTAAACAGAAGCACATATCACAGTGAACGCATGATGATATTACAAACCAGAAAACGTGACTTTTTATTTTATTACAAGGTCTCATCAGACGCCCAGTAATTATAACGCCATACTATCTGAGAGCTGCCAGTGATTTCCCCCCAGAAAGTAAATACATGTAGAATTAATAAATACAACACAGGAATGTTGGATGTTATTGTTGGCCTATTTGTAACATTTTTCAATTCCTTAAACACCGCCAACGATGACCTACAACGTTGATTTTGTTTTCAATTGCGGTTTAGGAGCTAAGAAATAACCAGCCAACACACAACAAAGATGGCGCTAGCTGTCTGCAGGCTGCTGTCTGTTTCCGTCATACTTTGCAGTTTTTACAATTCGTTTGCCGAATTTCAACATAACGGGAAAAAGTGTGAGTATTTAAATGGTCATTACCAGAGCCTGGTACGCCGAAATATAACGTAGAACCTGTATTTGAATTACTTTTGTAAACGAAAAAAGTTTCACGTGATAAATCATACATGAATCCAACGGGTCTTTGAGGCTTACTTTCAATAGATAGCAGCGAAGCGACTGCTCTGCTAAGTACGACACCCCGATGTGGGTGTGGCCCAAGTCGTCTATAAACATATATTCACTGTGAGATTGTTCCGTTTATGTTGTGTTAATACAAACATTTAAACTTGTCCCTTTCTGGTGTTTTCAATCATTGCCAACGTATTCAATACACGGAAATAGCACATGTGTGTGTTTGCGTGAGTACAAGGAGCTGGTGAGAGGTGTCACGTGTTCTATTTATTTCAAACGATATTCGAATGATATCTGTGTAACATACATAATTTTACGGTTTATTGTAAATAACTTTCTATCTAATCCGTAGTTAAAGTACTTGAGCTGAATAAAGAAATCACTGTTGGTGATAATGAATTTGTTGTATACTGCTATCCGGGTGATACTAGTACACTCTCCAAATATGCTTATATTTTTGGTAGTGTGGAGGTATGTATGTAGGTATTTAATTTTACTTACTAAATAAATTTGAATTCAGCTTCAGCAATGATTGCTAGGTCTTGCCCGGTGTTTCGTAGCAGAGGGTGTTTCAACTACATGTCAGTATGCTTCACGAAACTTTTGGACAGCATTTAAGGTAGCCAAAAGAGAAATTTTCATTTTTTTCTAGATTTTTCAAAAATTCATAAAACGGTTACTTTTCACCCTGATACATCATCCCGGCTTTTCAAAAGATCAAAATTTCGGAAAGACGCTGCTCAAATTAGTGTTTTAAATGCTACATGTAACACAAATAACTGCAACTTCCGTTTCATGGATATTTGCATAATGTTTATCTGTTGTTGACGATTCTACCATAAAGGGTGATAAGCTTCCTGTCGCAAACAATGTGTGTTTATCCTACGTTCCATGTCAGCATTATTGTCAGTCAAGCGTTAGTCGGAAAAACATGAGTCATAACTGTCATGGAAGGTAAAAAGAGAGGAGATAGGATGACTTTTAATCCGATTTATTTCTTTTGTTTCAAGCTGACAATATCGCCTTATTGCTATTGTATATATTTCGTTTTACCCCGTCACCAGTACCGCTTATTTACTCAGCGAAATGGGATGAAGTCACATTTTTCGTGACTGGAAAAAAAAAATCACCGCCACGAGTGGCACTGCGCATCATCGATGAGACGGAAGAGTGTATGCGCAGAAAGGTTCACGTGACGTCATAGGTTATTGACAAGGTCTGACACCAGAAACGAAACACTCGTCAGTTGTTTTCCAGCGTGAGCGGATGATACACTGCTCGATCTCTGCACGTAAACTTGTTCCATTTTTAAAGACAAAAAAACTACACACCCGGTTGTCTCCCAGGTATTTAAAAAGCTCAAGTGGGACTTTATGTCAGGCACTTTCAGGTAAGCTTTGTCTTGTTTGTATGCGGTGATATGCAATGGTGAAAAAAACGAGATTTTTTCGCAATAGTTTCGCCATTTTGTTACCGCCTCGACACAACAAATATACTTATAAATACCTTGTGTGTGTGATCATATGGAAGGTGGTGCGATGTTAGAACCCTGGTGTGATCACGAACAGTTATTGTTGTGTCGGTTTTCTGATATGAGCATATAAATACATATTTTTCATTTTATTTTAAAGATTTTTACAGTTATTGTCCGCGATTGAAATACTCAAATAGGGAAAGATGTTGGGTTATGGTTATGTTGCTGTCTTGCTTGATAGTTTTACTGGTGCAGCAAGATTTGTTATGTTCGAATTGAGCCGACCCGAATATTAATTATTCACATAATCGCATTACGGAATTGTTTACCAAGTAAATAAATCGAAACGATCATCGAACAAGGGAGAACAGTAGCGTCCTATCTCCTCTCTTTTTACCTTCCATGATAACTTTACGCAACTTTCTTTTCAATTATTTTATTTTCCAAACTTATTCTATTTTGCTAACGAAATGACGATGAAAAAAAAAGAAAGCGAAAAAGAAAAAGAAAAAAGAAAGTGACTTTGGGAAACCTTGGTTAAGGTCCACAGGTGCTTGTGTTCAACAGTCTTGTTGACCCAGTGAATAATTAACCCTTTTACAGTACTTTACCCATAATCCTTTGCGGGAGAATCAAGATGGTGGTCTACATAATACTGATATCAAGTGAATGAAAATAGCAGTGTTCTCCCCAAAGCGATTTAGCGTAGCGGGGCGGCTACTCTATTATTTATGCAGCTTCTCTGAGAGATTGCCTGCTACTCTATGGCATTTTCTGTTACTCTTTGTTTTAGCTTGTAAATACATGTGCGAACCTGTTAGTCAGCGTCATCAGCGTCCGGTACTGTGAGCCAAATCGGGTGTGAATGGAAACTGTGATTTCGCAAAGACAATGGACTAATACAGCTTTGTACTTTGACAATAAACACTTTCGCCCTATTTAATGGGGGTAATCGCGAGCATTTTCTCAGTAGCATATTTGGCTGGAAGAAGCAACGATGTCAAGCAGCAGAAATATATTACATTGTGGTTCCACGTAGAACGCTCTGCTGGGCCCCAGGTTCCAAGCGATAAACCCACCAGCAATGCGATCGCCGGTACCCCTGTCGGCTGTGGTACTAAACGTGTCCAAGATGATGTTACAACAAAAGGTGCAAAGAAAAGAAAGTCTGGATTTGATGCACAATGGACAACAAAATATACGTGGCTAAGAGAAACATCTGATAGCAAAGGTAAAAAAAGTATTTATTTGTAGCGTTTTACTTAGCGTATTTTGACCTAGTTTAGTGAACTTTTGTATGGCTTCATTTTTTGATGATCATCAAAACATTTTTTTTGGAAATGCCTTTTCTTTCTGGAAGTTCAAAAATTGTTGGCGATAATTTATCAAAATAACTGATACTAGTATTGTGTTTTGAAATAGTTGGGTAAATTTTATCGTGGCAATTTTTTAGATTTTAATAAAGTTTAGCGACTTTTCAAAATGGCAGCAATTTGTTTATTTTCGTGTTGATCGTGATGATATGTTTTAAATACATGTATTGATTCGCCACTATTTCTTATATTTTAGAAATGCTGTGTCACATACATGGAAAATTCAACTTAAAATCATCCAGAAATAGTTCTTTGGTGTGGAATTCTATGCCATGTATAATTATTACGAAATATGCTATCGATAAACGCGCACACTCGGAGATGCACAAGAAGGCCATGTGTCATTAGAAGTGGGAAGCAAAGAAAATCACGGCGTTCTCAAATGCTGCAGACCACTAGGCTTCCATGAAAGTCAGAAGAATCAACATTACATAGAAAGCACACAGCAGCAGATTTATGTAATCTTGTACATAAATTTGTTGAAAAATAAAGACACAATTTTATCCATGCAAGCCTGTCCTTATTCTGAGACATTTTTCTGGGGAGAACACTGGAACTGTTTATAAAAAAAACCTAAATTGCATTCTCCTACATTTGTGGAGCTTTTACATCTTGGAGCATACATGTAATATGTTTTGCCAGTCTTTTTCATTAATTTTTCCTTTGACAATTAAAATTTTATTCATGTAAAAATAATTGGAAGAAATTTAGTATACCAAAATTAATATTTTTTTTTCTATTTGGTTGAAAGCTTCTTAAAACCATCTTGTTTATCCCTGTTCAAACAAAGTCCGAAAACTTATGGATTGACCTCAATGTGTGAGCATGCATGCATGCATCCAGCCATATCTCACATATGCTTTGGCTGACTGGCAAGCATCTTCTCTAAAACAAATGCAGTTCCATTGAGTTCAAGTTTAAACTTTGCACATATGTCACACATTAGGTCATACATATATTTTGCATCTATATTTATCAATACAGGGACTATGTCATTGACAATGACTTGTTTTTGTTCAGTTTTTGCCACCCATTTTTTTTATATCACAGGTGTCATTCAACCCAGTGTCAGGGGTCAATAATTATAATCTAATTGTAGCCGAGAATGAAACCATGGTACATATTTTAAAAGGAACACCTAACCCATTGACACAAGCGTGGAAACAATTATGGCTAAGTGTTTCGTCGTACCATCCATCAACAGAACACTTGAAACTCTCCCCTTTTACCAAGACCTGCTTTGGACTGGAGGGCAGTAACACAACTATCAAGACAAAGTTACGAAGTATGTTTATTTTACTTTTCTTCTGTACATATTGAATCTATATTGATACCTGTAAATAAAAGTGAGTCCTACTACTTTCCACGATTATGGAATGAATGTAGCACTATATTTTCTTGGTGAATTAATTTCTCGTGTAGCCAAAATAGTTGATGTTCTGAAACAGAAGTTTGCTAAAACACTAGGTTTGAAGCATTGAAATATGATAGTTATAATATCACAATAATTTGGAAATAGGTTTCAAGAGTATTTGGATCAAATGACATGCAACTGCAACTGGTTATTTAAATAGGCAATGTTTTTTTCAAAACAGCTAGGATAAAAAACTTGTTGTGAAATTGTCCACTCTGATTATTTTCTATAGATGCGATAGGACATTCAGACTTTATTAAATTTGTTATGTGTGAACTTCTGCATTTACTCTTGGAATGTTGTATGGAATTCTATTTATTTATAAGTATGAGACCTACCAATACTTGTGTACAATCTTTGGAATTTTCCTCTGTGGTCATTTATTTGAGCATAACTTTGATTGATTTTTTGAAAATGTCATAACTTTAGCAATTACTTATTGCAGTTATTACCTGCATGCACCTTTCAAACTGGCTAATAAATACATTTTATTTCGAAAAAAGATGCCTTATGACATCTCAGTATGTGACACTACATAAATCAGAGATATTACTAGCACTGTACCTAGATTATAGAAAGTGAAATACCACATAGATGTCAATCACATCCCATGGTACCAGTATGTGATGTTTGCATAAATCTAAATCGATAATAAGATATTACTAGCAGTGTATCTAGGCATATATACTTTTAGTGAGGAATGATACATAGATGTCTATGACATCCCATATTATGGGATGTTTTATAAATCTGAATGGGGAATGAGATATTACTAGCAATGCACCTAGGCACTTAGTGAATGGAATGCTGTACAGATGTCTATATTTGGAACACTTGCGTATAATGTTTACATTATTTTTGTATGGAGATATACGTGTATTTGGGATCTACTTATATTTGTGTGGAAAATCACTAAGTTTTATGGACACCATAGTGACATTTGCTTCCATGCACTGTTCTTATTTTATTTTGTTCTTATTTGTTCACAGTGATTGATCCAAGGTACCTTGGTCTCTTCATTTTAGGGTTAATCTTGTTTTTTCAAGCAAACCGGCTTAGCAAGTGAGTATAAAAATATATGCATGCGTTTCCTGTCTGTTCCACCCTGCCTTTAATTTAAATTATATAATAATTACATTTTTTTGAATGGTCTCTTTATCTCTAAATGTAAAATGAATCAAAATGTGTTCATCATATTTGCTATATTTGTAGTTCATCTGCTTGTTTAAGTGGTGGAGTACTAGGAAAAATGCTGTCTTTCGTTTGTAGATAGCACATGCACTTCTGTAAATAAAAGAGCTGTGTCTATGTTCAAATTAAGTATACAATAAATGCAACTGATAAGTGTTTCTTTTTAAGATGCACCTCAAATAGAGCAAATATGGTATAGAGTAGCACTGTCTTTCTATCTTGGATTAATGGTGTTTGCACTAGATTGCCTTTAAATCACACGAATCTTTAATGTTTCCATGCAGGAGTGCTCTATTCTACTATAGTACGGGGGTGTCAGCTGGTGTTGTTCTCTCTCTACTTATAGTTGTTTATGTCCTTGGAAAGTTTGTACCTGCAGTAAGTAAACACAAAATACTTAAATTACAGTCTGTGCTCAGCACACATTGGAATTTAAGGTAGACAAACAATGTGTTTTACATTTTATCACATGACCATAGGCCATATACCAATTCTAAATTTTAGTGCATTGTGGGATAGTTAATGTAGGTTGTGTTTGATTCGGTCAAAGCTATCTCATAATGCGCTACAATTTGGTATTGTGGTAAGGTCTATGGTGTATTAAATGTGATTATTCTGTGTGTGTTCAAATGGTACACGAAAAAAACAAGTTGTACAGCAATAGTGTTTTTATTACTGTAATCTGAGAATTTCAGACTGGATTACAAAAATTCACTACGTTCAATTACCCACCATAGACTCCGGTCAGTCAAAATGACTATTTTGAACTGTAGGCATTAATCTGGTATTCTGCCAATGACGGAGAGATAAAATCTAGGTCAGGGGAAGCCCCATGACCCCAAGATTTTTTTCCCTTACGCCACAAACTACGTGACCGTCATCCCCTCATATTCACTCTTTCTTTATCTCTTCACCGACGGGGATGAAGTCTAGCAGCTCTGCCTGGAAAGCCTGCATTTTCCTGTCCAAGTTTTTGGCTTGAGTTGCTACCGCCGCCACGGTAGCCGACACTGTGGCTGGTAGGATAAGTTTTTTTTATTATTTTCACCCCCATGTCGATTTCCCCCATTGTATGTACATGTGTAACAAAGAAAAACAAACACTGCGACACAATTTATCCACGTTGTTGGTTTCTTTGCGTCACCTTTTCCAACTGTATTTCGCTTCCCTCCTGCATGTCGTGTTCATTTTTAAGTTTTACCAATGTATTTAGAAATAGATAGATGTAATGACAGCACCAGAGGCTCGCCGCCAGTTTTGTCTCCTCGTTTTTCGAGGCAACTGTGCAGTGGTTTTAATCAGAATTTACCAGCATATAACCCGCATCTGAAATGCTATTTTGCCATGACTGCGTGCAAGGTTTGGGTTTTTGCCTTGCGTAAGTATTCACTAGAGTTCTGAGGCCTGGGATGTTTTTCAGAGCCATGCAAAATTGCTGAGACTGACCGTGTCGCTCGTATTTTCATAGCAAGGTCGCGCGTCCAGTAAAAATCTGTTAAAGTGAGTTGCTAGGCTCAGGCTAGTTGCACCGGGTCTTCTCTGGGACCTCAGGCACTGAATGCCAATGGGGATGCTGGCAGCCAAGCCTCCGATTTCGGGGCAGGGCTCTCAGGTCAGGGCACACGTTGCGCCTCGGTGAGCCACGTCGTTGGGGTGATGCTGAGTATCATCGATCCTAGTGATACAATGTATATACCCCCACCCTCGATCCTAAGGCAACCACTTACAGTTGCTTCAACTCTTATGGGATCACAGGCGCCTGGATCCAAAGCAACCCTGTTGGCACGTCTCTCCCTGTCCAGCCGAGTGTTGAGTGGGGCACAGGATGCGCGGATGGTGTTGATGGGCGGACGGTGTTGATGGGCGGACGTTGGTGGGTGGAGTAAATCTTATGCAACACTATTCGCTGGACTAAACGCTACCTGGTCGGTGTCGTTTCGGGATCAGACCCCAAAGTGTGAGGGATAAGACCAAATGCCTCCAACCTGATCCCAAAGCTGCTTCCCCAGATCCCGGTACCACAAATTTCTGTTTTGCAAACCGGGTAAAGGGGGACGGCTGCGTTCCATGGACTAGCCGATTGGGAGACTATTTACTGCTTTCCATAATCAGAGGCCGAGACCCCGAACAAGGGAAAGCCCCAACTGGGATTTGTTAGTTGTATTGAGCCTCTCCGATCAGCACCACTAAATTTTTTTGACGTGGAAGGCCCTCGCCTCAGGTAGGTGTTGGTCAGAACGAGGGGCATTGTCTTTCTCGAACGAGTGTGCCCCCATTATGGACAATCAAGTTGTGCTAAAGACACGAATCGGGTTTCTTACCAAGAACCAAATCCCAGGACACGATCCTCAGTCGATCGTTCTCCCCTGGCTGTCAAATATTGTCGGCCCGGAGGATCAAGAGGAATTGCTTCTCTGCCCGGTTCGAGTTGTTACTAAAACCGTACTAGGGATTCGAGACGGGGTGCCAAGTACATGTTTTTGTGTTACGTTCCAGGCAGGCAGGATAGGCTGTCCTCCCCAACTTCCATCGCCAGGTGGATTACTGCAACTGTATTAGAGCTCTATAATACTTTAACTTCCTCAACACAGAGCTTGCAGAAACACCAAGTATGAGGTGTGCGATTACCAGCGCTAGCGTCAGCCGCCCCCCTCTAACATATACTGAGGGCCGGCTTCTGGAGAACGCAAAATGTCTTTATCAACTACTACTACCTAAGAGACACCCAATCCATTGAGGAGGGCCTCTTTAGGTTGGGTCCCGTCATAGTGGGTCAGAGTCTGGTTGCTGACTCAGCCTGAATGACCACAAGGGTCCCTGGGCTATAAGTCGGTCTCAGCATCTTTGCGGACAGATTTCTCTACCGTCAACACTCCTTGGAAGTTTCCATGTCTCGCTTTTCGGCCTATGTCCTCATGCAGAACTGTTTCGGTATTTAGATTTCCTGGGCACACCAAACCCTGTCACCATAGCAGCATTTTTGGCTTTTTGCTCCGGGGACAGCACAGGCAAGATAAGACAACACCCTCTTTTGGGGTCTTAGCTAGGTGATGAGTGGTAGTTGTAGAGTGTATCATCCCGGATTGGGAAAAAAGACTTTCATCATTTTCTGTTTGCTCGGAAAACCCACCACCTATCGGCCTACAGTTCAAAATAGTCATTTTGACTGACTGAAGTCTATGGTGGGTAACTGAACGTAGTGAATTTAGGCAGAGGGTTCTTCAAACCCGCCTATTCACATAGTTCATACCCACTATAGACTCTAGCCCCCCCCCCCCCCCCAACCAACCAACCCACTCTTTCCGTAGCATTGGTTCAGTCCTTGGTGTGGAGAGAAAGGAACCAGAGTGAATATCAGGAGATGATGGCACCGCCACATTACCTTGGTCACGTGTTTCGTGTCGTAAGAGAAAAAAATCTTGGGGTCATAGGACTTCCCCTGACCTAGATTTTATCTCTCCATCATTGGCAGAATCGCTGATTAATGCCTATAGTTCAAAATAGTCATTTTGACAGACCGGAGTCCATGGTGGGTATGAACTATGTGAATAGGCGGGTTCGGAGAACCCTCTGACTAAATTACTTGCATGGTGCAATAACAGTAACTTATAAAGTTTATGTTGAAAAAAAATATCAGTAAAAAGAATGATATTTCCAAAAATTTTGAAAACCATCAGCAGTTGTAAATGCGTGTTCATCAACACACTTAAACGCAACACATAATTAGCATAAATTAGCTAATGATTCGTAAGAGTAATTCTGTAAAATCACAATTTGGTTTTGTTTTGACAGTTGGAGTTGCTCATGTCTTATAAAGATTATCACCTGATACATAACAATTTACAAAATGTTACACTAAACAAGAATTGCGCATAAAATGAAACAATTTTCTCTCTTTCTAGATTCATAATAAATAAATTATGCATGACTATATTACTCTTCTCTTCACAGAGGAAGGCTTCTGTTGTTTTTGTTACATTTGGATGGTCATTCTCCGCTTATTTCTTCTCATGGCTTTGGAAAAAGATAATTATTGACAGAGTGCTGCCAGAAAGTACATACATGAGGGTTATATTTGCATACATAGCATTAGCAGCACTGATCAGTTTTGCGGTATGTTATCGATACGGCCCCGTAAAAGAGCGAAGGACGTTGAATTTGATACAATGGAGTATATGGCTGTGTTCTTGGTTGCTGATATTCAATGGAACTCAGATTCCAGAAGTCTCAGTGAGTGTTATTATTGCTCTGTGGCTCTGGACAATTCTACCTAAGAAATCATTTATGCATGCTATCCATCGGCGATGGTAAGTTTCATTTCACTATTGACCATTAATAACCTATATTGCTGATTGGTCAGCACTGACACATGTTCTAAGCAAAAAAAAAATATATAGGGTAAATACAGTATTAATGACTTGTATGAAAATATACAGATAGTTTGTTTAGGTTTTCATCTCCATTTGATGAACCAATATTAGATTTCAAATTCAACTTTGAGAATTCCGACTTAAACAATGGTTTGGCTTTGCTCCTGAAACCAACATGATTATTATTTTATGTGAGAGAGAATTATTTCAAGAGAATCAAGAAAGCAATCAGTATGTATTCCCTTACAGAAATTTAGGCCCTGTCACACACTTGTGTGGCACACATCCAGCAAACTCTTGTAATTCTTCCGGGCATGCACTTGTTTCACATGCAAAGAAGATCATGCCATGCACTCTGTCGCATATACACCACATTCTTAGTCGTATATAATGGGCCATTTGATAATAGAAATCCAAACTAGTCCTGATTCACGGTGTTGATGAGCTCATTCGTCCCACCATCCTTATCTAATTTCAGTAATAACTATTTCATACTGGCCCAATTTTTCTACCATATACAGTCAGAATTTCAAGTTTTTTTAGTCATACTGTTGGAAATCCAACCTCATCAACCGGTATGTGGCGAGATAAACTAGGCCATATTTTATTTAGTAGCCATAACTGCCTGGATTTCCAGGAATTTTTTTTACATACTCGTCTGGATTTCCAGATTCTGTTTCTCCATATACAGTTGGAATTCCGGGGTATTTTCCCCATCATACAGTGCTGGAAATCCGACCTCATCAACAGGGGGGTGCAGACTGGTAGATTTGGATATAATTTCATAATAAATTGAATATCGCATTAAAATAAGAAAAGATCTGATTGTTGCAGTAAAATCAAGACAAAGTCAGACAAGGCAACTTCTGCTCACTGACTGCAGCTTCAAATTTTCAAATGATTGCAGACATACATTGATAACTCTGTAAAAGACAGCAAAAATAAATTTGATTATGAGCCTAAAACAAACTCGTTCAATTATATGTAATTATTCATATATTATATGTAATTTGTAAACCAATAATCTTACATATTTGCATACAGCAATTTTTAGCTTCACTGTCTACAAAGTCGAAACAGCGGAGCTGTTCATATTACTGATTGTCCACCGTCGTCTGTCGTCGTCATCCGTCGTTGTCAACTTTACAATTTCAACTTCTTCTTCAAAACCACAAGTCAGAATGTTTTCAAATTCGATATGCAAGTACCTTGGATGGTTCTTTCTCAGATTGGTTCATTACATGTCAAAATCTCAAATTCTCTATTTTTGGTGAATATTTTTGGTAAAAAGTGATATTTTCGACTTCTTGTTAAAAACGGCAAATCCAATTGCTTTGATATTACATATATAGGTACTACATGTGGACCACTCTCAAATTTGTTCATTTGTATGATGATATCTTCAATTCTCTAATTTTGGTGAATATTTTTGTCATTTTTGGTAAAAAGTGATATTTTCGACTTCTTGTTAAAAACCGCAAGTCCTATTGCATTGATATTACATATATAGGTACTACATGTGGATCTCTCTCAGATTTGTTCATTTTGTAATGATATCTTTAATTCTCTAATTTTGGTGAATATTTTTGTCATTTTTGGTAAAAAGTGATATTTTCGACTTCTTGTTAAAAACCGTAATTCCAATTGCTTTGATATTACATACACTATTTCAAGTGCTTACAACTGCATGAAAAATCTGTGTCCCCTCTACATCTAGCCACAAACTAAAAATGTCTGCCAATTCATATTGAATCTGACCAATGAATGAGCTTAGGAGTGTAATGTGAAATAAGCTCATGACCTCTTACACTTAGCATCAGATCAAATGGAAATTAATTATTGCTGTGTTAGACAGCAAAGTTTATAAATAAATCTTGATGCCACACACAAAATATGCTATTGTTAACACGTGGTGCACATACAGTGCAAATGGTGTGCACAGTACATTTCCATAAACAAACATGAGTACTTGCATGTGAAACAGGTGATGTATATTGTGTTTTAAAATCATTCCGTTGGCCGTGCACTGTCAAATAACATGTTTGTCAATTATTAAGCCATTTATCAACCTTGATCACTAATTTCCACATACTGAATATTGACTTTCACTTTAATAATTGTGCATTTATTTACCATGATCCTGAAATTTAAATGTGCCCACCATCTTTTCAAACTTGTATTCGTTTTTTTCTTTTCTCAAGGAGAGTCTGGTTTCCTCCTCGAGTCAGGCTGCTCACAGAAGAGGAGTACATGATTCAAGCTCACAGAGAAACACAAAAAGCTCTAAGAGAATTAAAGCAATATTGCAGAAGTCCAGACTGTGATGCTTGGAAAGTAATATCAAGGTTGGATTCTCCATCAAGGTACAAATTTAGATTTTCTTAATGTTCATAATTTGGGATTTGTTGGTATCGGGGTTCATACTGTCAGGGGATCTATGCTTGAAAAGTTCTGGAATTTGTAAGGTGGAAAAATGCCTGCGAGTCCCGCAAAATGAGCATAGCATAGAAAGCCATCACTGCTGCAAAGTTTATTGAAATCACCATTAGGTACTTATAATTTGGTCTCTGTCCAGCCAGCCGTCCGTCCGTCCGTCCGTCCGTCCATTTATGAATCCTGTGTACCAAATCTGTTCATGTGCCTAGTACTTTATCTGGGACATATGCACAATCCAAAATAGCCATTTTCTTTTTTGAAAACGTTTTATCTCATGCATACTTTGTCAATTTTTCTTCAAATTTGGTATGTACATTGTACATTTTAGATTACATGTCCGCGACGATTTATTTTACAATTGGATCAAAGATGACCGACTGGCGGCCGTCTTGCTTTTTGGCCATTCTAATATACAATGTACTGTAAAATGACTAATTTTCACTGGGTTTAAATTTCACTGATTTACCATTTCAGGCATATTCAGTGGGTTTTAAATTCACGGTTTTGTCATTTAGATAATGTGTTCTATGCTAAATTTTACATATTCACTGTGTTTTAATTTAGCGCATTTTTCCAGTCAGCGAAATAAGCTAAATTAAAACACAGTGAATAATTACCCCCTTTACAGTATCTCCAAAGCTTAGGGACCATTTTCATTCATATTGGGCATATACATCATATTGTAATACATGCTCATGTCAGTTTGTTCCATAATCTGATCAAAGATGACCTTGTTTTTTTAAAATAGTGATTTATTGGTTTTTGTTCAAATTTAATGCAAACATTATACATGTTGAGATACATGTCCATGATACCCAGCCATTTATTTATTCTCAATTACTAACTATGATTTTGGTCTATAATATTAATTTTGACATGAATTAATTTCCCCTAATTCCAACAGGGACTAATTCTAACAATGACTTGTCATAAGAGTTTTGACACTAAGGCAATAAACTCCTGGAAAACTTCTGGTGTTGCAGTTATCAAAATAGTGAAAAGACATTGTCTGAGCTAAATATACCCTTGCCCACACAATTATTATTTCCTGAATTATACAGTTTGTATTTGTTAATCAGAAAGTAAACCATCTTTCAATTCTTTTTCAACCAAGCCCTGCAAATTGACAATTTAATTTCAGGTTTGCTAAATTTGTAAGTGGTGATGAGCTGCATATCACAGACAACGAGTATGCAGCGCATGTAGTGGAGTCTGATATTTCATTTGATCTACCACAAGATGACGAGGAGGAGGAAGAGATGGAAGCACCTATGACATCTGACAGTGCAGAAGATACTATGTAATCAACTGTCAACTAAATTGTGTGCAATATTGTTTTAAACTGTACCCGGTGTTTACTCGCCAGGTTTGATCAACACATTAATCAGTGGACGTAATAACAAAATCATTTGTGTGGGGTGTTTAACAGCACGTGATCAGTGATGTATCCAAGAGTTCTTGCTTCCTTTACTTGTAAAAATTACTACAATTTGAACAGCTAACTAGGTCTAATGTACAGATGTTTTATATTTTACTGAAAGTCTTACTTGTCTTAAAAATGTCATAATCTAACTTTCTTGCAATTTTTAAAATCTGAAAAAGTCTGATATACGAGAAATATTAATTTAATTTGAAAAAGTCTGAAAACTAGTAATCTCAGCAATTTCTAATTATTTCATCTGGCTTTGATTGAAACCAATTGTGCCATATCGATTAAATGTGATGTGCAGTGTGGTTTCTGATAAATGTTTCTTTTTATACGTTTGTCACTAAATCAGCTCTTAAATTCATAAACAAATTGGTTTTATAAAGTCCATAAAAGGTTTGAAAACCTGTGTAACAGTACATCAATCGCAATGGTACATGTTCAGTTCACCACTTAGAGATGAAAAATAAAAATGGTTTTTGTCTGTAAACCGCTCTGAAAACTGGTTGACCTCATGAAAATATAGTTGAACACTCTGAATGTCAAACCAGCTTCTGGCAATTTTCACATAATAACACGCACCAGTCAATCATGTCAGAAAAAACACTTTCTTTGTGAAATTCAGTAGTATTGCAACTGATGCTAGAAGTGGATCAATTTTACTTCATTGCCTGTGATTCGAATACATTGTTTTTGTAAGCTAAATAATACTGGTAACGTGTTTAGCCACTTCACAAACTGATAAGATAGCATTATGAACAAATCATAATTTGTTCAGATTCATGTTAGCATGTGCCTGTGGGTGATGATTTTTTCATTTTTATTCAATAGTACATATAATTATCTCCTTCAAAAAACACATGGTTTGAAACAAAACAGAATGTAAAATATAGGTGACTGGCAAGGATTTAGGAGATTGGAGCACTGTTGTATGATCAATTTTTAATAGCTGCAATCATACTATAATAGAGGTGGCTAACATGATTTCCATAAAAAAAAATACATTTGCCCCAATATTTTGAGTTTTAAGTTATCTAATCGGTATGAAGTTGTATTTGAAAATGATAGTGTTTGTTTTGAATGCAGAGAAAGCACTCTATAGCCCCACAATCGAGATGAGAAGCTGCAGTTGCTATTTTACTTAGTTAATACTTATTTTGATTTTTTAATGCAAGAATGTTTTCTTTTTGCTGAAAGTTTCCCAGGCCTTAACCAGATTTTCAAAAATAAAAGAATAGTTTACAAACAGCATATCAGAATTACAAAATTACCTTAGGTAGTAGTTTATTTTAAATGTGCTCACTTTTACTGTTAATTTCAATGTGTAATATCATTAAAGCTTGTCTGTTTCAATCTTTTTTAAATCGGAATTTTGAGGTCATAGTTCAATGTTGCTGAACAGATCTTTTTAATAGTTTGTGCCTAGTAATGAAGTGCTTCTCTGATGAAGGCAAGTGTAAACGATGCAAATGTGTAGTTGTTTGTTAATTAGAATACACAAATCTTGAAAAATGTAGACAACTACAGGTTAAAACAGTATTGACACATCACTAACTCTGTCATATCACAGCAGCTGCTTCATCCATAGAGCGATGCAACTTTTAGGAATGGTCTATTTACTACATGCATACATGCACACATACAGAGCTTGAACTTATGGAGATATCAATAATTGCCTCATTACTGTAGGAGTCTTCATTTAAATAATACAAATTGTTATTATTCCTAGGTTATGGTTAATAATCAGATTCTACTGCTTCCAACATTTTGTTGGGTCTTATCCGCAAATCTGAAATTCAGGCCCTACATACAAATACCATATTCTTTGTACCTGTGAAGGCTTGTATGTTAGAACCAGCCATCAAAGTTGTCAGTTATATTCAAGAGCACTCCATAAATGGGTCAATCATATGCTATCTTCAGTATTGCATATGAAATTCTGTGTCAATCGAAACCCAGTTTCAATTATGCACAGTTGCCTGCAGTTGTACTTTGTTCAGTGCAGTTATTTTCAGCTCATGCAGTTATACATATGTGATATTGTCAATGCCTTTAATTAGTATGCTTCTTAAATTTTAATATTTAATCGTTTTGATTTGTAAGTTCTGAAATAAAATATATTTTTTATATGACTATAAAGTATGAGGTCTTTTTCTTTCATTGGTGCATTGTGGCACTTTGGTTTATTGAATACTTAAAATACATAGTTATATATTACTGCTAAGGCCAGACTTTTATTATCCCTTGTTTCGCGAACCCGACGAATGAACAGGAGCCGAAAATGAAATAAAAATAAAATTTTATTTCAGCGTAATTTCTCACGCCCACTGACTTGTAAGTCCAAAAAAAATGATTGGAAGGTATCTAAGTGCCACCGGCGATAATTAGTGCAAGTTGTGATTTAATTAGAAAAGCGAATTGGATTGTAGCAAAATCAATGTTTATCAACACAAATGTTGTACTTGCGCTGCGAACGTGACGAGAGTATCGGTGTTCTCTTTTAATAGGTGCCCACTTTGAAAATTTGAGAACGCGTCATAATTAAGGAATTTAGTTGAATTATTTGCAGAAGAAAAGTAACTCCATGCTCATAAAATACAAAATATCAGCGAGTGATAGCCTAATACTCTGAAATATTCAGAATCAGAACGAGAGAATCTGACTGATGACATCGCCCTCTACTGACTGGTACGCACGGCTTTGATCTGCCTCGCCGTCCAAGGGCGCAATTCATTTACGTAACATTCGTTGTAATGTAGTGGGGATCGGCAAGGTTTTTATTTTTTTTTTTATCCAATTATTTTATTTTCGTAATGTAATTTAAATAAATAATAAAAAACGTAAATTTGTAAACATGGGCAAGATGTAAAATGTAATCAGCTATTTTAATCGTCCGTAATTTGTACTAAGATATTATGTTTTTTGTAAGCGTATAAAGCATTTTCCAAATTAAATGTCGTAATTTGTACGCAATTTCCAAGTTTGATTCTTAAACGCAAATTATCAAAAATATTCTAAAGTTGTAAATTGTAATTGGGAATTTATTTTATCTATAAAGTGGAAAAACCTATTTTTTTAACTGTAAATGGAACTTTTATTTAGTTTCTTGTGAAGACGTCACAAAAATGCCATTTTTATTTCCTGTAAACTGTACCAGCTATCTCCCTTGCCCCCTTCTGTAGTAGTGACATTGTATACCCGACGATGTGTTTTGCTTTGTTGCGTTAAATATCTTTGAAACCTCGTTAGTTTGTCTGAATAGATGGCAAAGAAAGTTATTGTATTATGTAAGCATGTTGTAATATAGAAATGTGGAAACTAGTATTTAAGGCATTTATTAGTTTGACAATTTCTAAAAAAAAAATTGAAATGTTCCCAATCATGTAAATTTGTTTACAAAAGCACGACATTGTATTCTTGGTGACATTCGCAATAGTGATAGATATAGTTTAGTAATTATGACCTTATCTTTGTTATTACAAAGACGTTCGAACAGAATTTGTGTCACTCTATATACTATACAACTGCACCGAGTTTCGTTGAGTTTCTTCATTTAAATATGTTACATATGCAATCATCGCGATGTTCGTATATTGCACTACTTGTGGAAATAAACTGAGTTTATATAATTGTATTTATAATATACGCGTTTCCATTCGTGTGATCACTTGATTGCCTATATTTTAGGGAATACATTTATTCAATAAATTGTATTAAAGTTAATTCTGAGATAATTGTAAATTACAAAACTGTATTGTGACCTTTGATGTGAAATATGTGATGGTCTGTATCTACCCGAATTGCAGCCAGTCTGTGTGTTTTAATGTTAGATATCGGTTTCCCATCTCATTAAGTTATTTGGTCGAATTTATTTAACCCCGAAAGCGTGGAGTTGGAGTGAGCCGCGTAAGCATCACTTGTGATGACCTATGTAAAGGGAAATATACTGTGTAACATTGTGTAACTCCATATGATGTACTCTCAATATAGTAGTAGTATTGAGGCAGTATCGGATGAGACGAAACCAGCTGCAGGTAAATGCGAACAAATCCGTACGTGTCTGAATACAACCGGTATATACAACGAACTGTCGATATAGTTCGAAGGCGGAATTAAGAAAGACGCTTAGAAATTGAATTCCTGCAATTCAGCACGAGTGAGTAAAATGCTCAAGATTCACAACGTGCTGAACCACTTTCCACATAGAATCATGTTTTGGGACCTTGCGTTATGTCATTAGGGGGTCACCAAGTACTGTTTCTTGGTTTCTTGCAATGCCACTCGTTTACCGAGGAACTCAGAAGTTCAACTATTCGTCTTGGGTGCAACTAGAAAGTCACACACGCATAACATTCAGAGAATGTTTCTGTGCACCTCTTCTGCAGTAAAGTAGGTGGATAACAGAACAAAACAGGAGTTTTTTTGTGTTTTTTTAATTTGAGTTATCACAATTTACAACCTCTGCTCTTCAAGAACAAAAATGTATTGTATACAGGAATATACGAAGAATAGAGAAAAAATCTAAAACATTTGCAGACAACGTGTTCGTCTATAATGATGGCATTATCACGGATGTCTTATACATTAAAAAAAAATACATACAAGTTTTAGATACGTACTACAAAGTAATGCGAATGACTTTCTCTTTGCCCAAATTCCATGTCGGCCTCACGCTAAAATAAAAATATGGTCAATGACCCTAATCTGCTTTTCAATGTGACTCCTTTCGTTTAAATGCATGGTATAAATTACCATATATCTGAATTACAACTTTCTATTATAAAGTTGTTTAATTACCGTAGGGTACTATTTTCTTTCCAAGGACGGTCGTCTGTCATTTACGTGAAATAGGTCTATCCCATAATCTCGGATCAGTTTGCGATATATTCGATTCAAAGATCTGTTGTTTTTTTCCTCTGGCTTTTTCGTCGAATCTGCTCAATCGGAGCCGATAGCGACGTTTTAATTATCGATACTCGGTTTTACAAATTACGATCACAT